CAAGATAACCAAGAGTGCTCACTTCTTAGCAATCAGGATGGATTACTCACTTGAGAGTTTAACCGAGTTGTACATTAATAAAATTGTAAGAATACATGGATCCCTGTGTCTATTGTATCAGACCGGGACCCCAAGGTTTACATCTACAGTTTGGGGTAGCTTATAGGAAGTTTTGGGTACTAAGTTGAGGTTTAGCACTTCGTTCCATCCTCAAACTGATGGCCAATTGGAAAGAGTGATGCAAATTTTGGAGGATACGCTTCGAGCTTGCATTATGGAGTTTGAAGGTAGTTGGGATAAACACTTGGCTTTGATAGAATTTTCTTACAATAATAGCTACCAATCGAGTATTGGAATGCCTGCCTATGAAGCCTTATACGGAAGAAAATGTCGGACCCCTCTTTGTTGAAGTGAAATTGGTGAAAGAAAGCTTATTGGTCCTGAAATTGTGCAACAAACAGAGGACAAGGTAAAAATTATCAAATATCATCTAAAGATTTCTTCCGATAGACAAAAGTCGTACGCTGATCTTAAAAGGTGTGATATTGAATATCAAGTTGGAGATAAAGTATTCTTAAATGTGTCTCAATGGAAAGAGATTATGAGATTTGGACAGAAAAGAAAACTTAGTCCCTGAGTTATTGGACCTTATGAGATACTTCAAAAGGGTTGGACCAGTTGCATATAAATTGGCTTTGCCACCTGAGTTAAACAAAATCCACAATGTCTTCGATATTTCTATGCTCAGAAGATATCGGTCTGATCCATCTCATGTTCTTCCAGTTGAACCTATTGAGGTTAATCCTGACTTGACATATATTGAAGAACCAATTGTAATTCAAGATCGAGAAGTAAAGAAACTTAGGAACAAGAGAATCCCTTAGTAAAGGTACTTTGGAGGAACCATTCTAGAAAAGAAGCTACCTGGGAAAGAGAAGAGGACATGAGGATCCTATATCCGTACTTGTTCCGGGACTACTGTGAGGTAAATTCCGACACAGAATTTCTTTAAAAGGGAGAGAGTTGTAATACCCCTAAAATACTAGACCAACTCTTGCATGTCGATGACTCATTTCTTAATTACAACAATATGTTTTACACTTATATTGGGAACTTGAAATTTTGTGATATTTGCAACCTTGATTAAAATAAATTGTTCTCGTAATTTAAGGTATTGTATGGGGTTATTTACGTAATTTTTCTTATTAAAATCTAATATGAATTGAAAGTGTTGGTATCAATTATATACCTATAGGTGTATATGAATACGTTTTGTGCAGCACACAATAATTTGGGGCAGCACCCTTTAGTGACAGTTGTATATGTTAACAAACATCACTCATATGACTATATTATCACACCTCCTCTTGTGATTTTCGTTTGGAACTGATGTATAAGAACCTAAGAACATTTTCTAACCTATTGTTCATCAAAATCACAAGAGAAAACCTTGGTCCTTCTAGCTGGAAGTCGAGACATCCTACCTTTTGGTGAGTAATCAAAACTTGTTTTTTTTAGCTAAGTAGTGTTAAGTACTTTTAGAATTTCTTGTTCTGTATAACTCCTTTTTCGGTTAATAAATATGATTTAGAAATAAGGGACGCAACATATGACATGCTCTGTCTAGATTCTGGAATTTGAAATCCTGTATGTTCACCTGTTAGTGTCTTGATTATATCTTTTTGTACAAAGCGTCTTTTGCGGTGATTCTTGATTATTTGCAAGATTAAGAGATGTACCTACATATTTTATGAAGTATATAAATTCAATTTTGGCCGTTTTCTATTTCAAATCTAAGTTGCGACATCAAGTGCTTTTATTGGGCAGAATTTATGTGTTTGGATTATAGTCGTATTTGTACAAGCTAGGCTTACTTTGTTATGATAACCCTGTGTTACGCCATCATTATTGAGCTACTATAAAGTAAATAAGTCTTGAAATTCATTTTTTAAGGTTTTATATCCTTGTGTATGAGTTAAAGACTTTGATACGCTAGTTGGTCAACGATTTGAACTCGTAAAGTTCTGTTGGACTATTTTTGTGCTAAAGAACTGATGTTTGTGTATAAACTTATACTTGTACTCTTTTTACCTGCTGGTATATCTGAAAGTTTACTTTGGTACCTTGGTTACATCTTGTTAGTTTGCATTCTCGTATTGGTATTCTTTAATACATTAAAGACGCTTGTGTAACCCGCCCACTAGTACGTTTGATCACTTGGCACTCTTGTTGGGATCTTGTCTTTCTTGTGGCTGTGACTTTGTCACTCTTGGCATGCTTCTTGATTCGGATCATTTACCATCTTGACTCTAGATTTTTAGTCTGTCTTAAGAATGGAAGTTGTCCATTTTTAAGTATGAACTAGGAAGCCATTTTTAGTACGGTTCTTGGTTCTCTTCATTATTGGGTTTTGACCCTTCTTGATACCTGCTTGTGCTTGGTGTGACGACATGGTGTATATATTGGGCGAGCCTTGTTGTTGAATCTCTTGGAAAACTGTGCTATGAAAGTTCTTGACATTTGGATCTTTACATATAAAACTTTATACTATTTATATATTCTTTACTTGATTTATTTATTATATTCAATTATGCTACCCTTGATTTGAGAATGACAACTTGCTAAATTTGAGGGCTCCAAACTTTTAGTTTTTACACCACTAAGCTATATGCTTTGCAGTAGTTGTTTCTATCGTAGAGGCTGTTCGAGATGATGCTTGAAGCTGGCCATTGGAGATGGACGTTTTGAGAGCCTTAAGGAAGATCACTTTTGCATATAGGCATCTATTTTTTGTATAAACCTTGGGACTTGTACATATTCTATGTGTTTTATATTTACATGGGATTTTGAGGGCTGATTCTGATAGCATCCAAGGAAGCTCTACTCCATTGAAGGACAAGGATGACGCTTTAGAAACTCCAAGGAGGCCCATAACAAGATCTCAAACCAAGGAGTTCAATGATAAGCTCAATGGGCTTCAATCGCTGATCCAAAGGTTTCTTATTGGGGAAGAAGAGCTCAAGCCCAAGGGAGAGGAATTGTCCAAATGCTACAATTATTTGGTGGCCCAAATTCAAGCCCAAGATGAGGAATTTTAAGGTCCAATTTCGTGCAAAAAAGGTCAAGAAGAGTCCAAGAATCAGCCACAACAAGAGTTGCTTTCTGCCCAAGTTTTGAGAGAAGACTAGTCAAACTTTCCAAGATTGTCAAGATTCTTTTCCTAGTTGGGATTTACCTTATTTATTTATTTATATATAGGTTATTAATATTTCCCTTAGTCTATTTATGGTCTCCTAAGTACCATTTAATGCTTTCCTAGAAGTACTAAATGTGTTCCTAGTTAGGTTACTTTATTTCCTTTCTAGAGTAGGATTCCTTGTAATTGTTTTTTTTAGGGTTTGGCTTCTTGGACGTTTTTCCCTTCTCCTATATATAGGAGTCCTTTTCATTCATTAAAGACAATTTAGATTGATATTAATAATATTTGGGAGAGTTCTTTGAACCTTTGTGACTTGTTCTTTGAGAATTTATCTTTAAACCTTTACTAGTTTCATAGTTTAAGGTATAAAGTAACTTCTTCTTGTGATATCTTTGGTTTCTTTTTGGTATTCTTTAGAAGGTGATTAGTTTCTACATACTAATTATTGTCTTTAGTTACTCATAAAGCGGTCAAGATCCGAATCTATCGTTTTGATTCGTTTTCTCAAGTAAAGGCGTTAGATTTCTTCCATAAATCTATACGTTGTTACTTGGATCTTTTCAAGGCCTTAGAACATCTAATCTTTGGAAATTCGTGGATCTTTCCTTCGAATTTCCCATATCTTTATTTAGTTTTTTTTTGTTTCTTTTCTTTGTGCTTCCGCATTCTAATATTTAATTCTCTATTTGTGATCTCCCTTAACCTTGCTGTTATCAAGTGGTATCAGAGCGGTTCTATCAAGATTTCGTTCTTGATAAATCTTGGGATTTCTTCTTAGAGCAAAAAAAATCAAAAAAAAACTGTAGCGTGAACAGTAGCGTCGTGAAAAAAAAAAAAAAAAAAAAAAATTTTTTGGTAGCGTGAACAGTAGCGTGAACAGAAAATAATAATAAAAAAAAGTTATAGCTTGCTCTCCAAGAAATTTGATTACTTGATACCCAAGAAAGTTTATTACTTGCCATTCTAGAAATCTTATTACTTGATCTCCAAGTTTTGCATTAATTTGTTTCCAAGCAAGAAGGTAGCAAGAAGAGGGGATTCTAGACCTTTAAGAATAAGAGGAATTTTTTTTCTTGTTCTTATAATTCTAAAATAAGTTCCTTTTTATTCGCGTTTTGTTTCAACTAAATCCTACTTGTTCTAGGACTAGTTCTTTACTTTCTTTTGTACCCCAAGATTCCATACTTTATTACTACGAACTTGATACACGTTTTGGTTTAATTATAAATCTACAAAGTATTCTCGTTCAAAGGTGATTTTGAGTGGAAAAAGGCAAGTGTGGGTGAGTTTAAAAGAGGGTAAAAGCCATATTAAAAGTGTGATACTTGATCATTTATTCTTTTTTTTTTAGATGTCTAATTCAGGTGGTAATGAGGAAAGGGCTCGTTTAGAAGCCGAGGTCAAAGGAAGGAACGACTTCACCCTTCAAGCTATGCACCAACAATTTGAGAGATGGACCCTTCAATTTCAAGAGATGAGGGATATGATTATCGAACAGAATGACACCATAGCTGCAATTAGGAGGGAGAATAATGTTGTACCCCCAAATAATGTTAGACCCCAAGTTAGAAGGAATGTACCCCATATCCCTTTTGTAAATCCTGAATATGATAATGATGATTTTGATGTTGAATTTAATCTAGAAAGAAGAGATAGGAGGGGACAAAGAGGTAGAGTAGAAGATGATAATATAAATAGTATAAAGATGAAGATGCCATCTTTCAAGGGGACAAGGGATCCAGACTTGTACCTTGATTGGGAGAGACGAGTTGAAGCCATCTTTGATTGCCATAACTACTCTGAGGGTAAGAAAGTTAAACTTGCTATTGTTGAGTTTTCTGATTATGCTGCTTCTTGGTGGAAAAAGCTTGCTAGGGACAGATTGCAAGAGGAGTTACCACCTATTGCTACGTGGGCAAAGATGAAGAGGGTAATGAGGAAGCAGTTTATTCCATCATACTTCCAAAGAGATCTACAATCTCGCCTTCAACGCTTGAAGCAAGGCTCCATGTCGGTGGATGAGTACTTCAAAAGCATGGATATGGCTATGATCCAAGCTAACTGCATGGAGGAAGAAGAGGCTACAATAGCTAGATTTTTAAATGGTTTAAATACAGAAATAGCTAATGTAGTAGAGATACAACAATATGTAACTTTAGATGAGTTAGTTGATTTGTCTGTAAAAGTTGAAAAACAAATTGAGAAAAAGCAGCAAAATAACTCATGGAGAAGTCGATCAAACACTATCTCTAAGAAGCCATGGTCAACTCAAGAGGGGAAACTCCTTCCATACCTCAAGATGATAGAGGTAAAGGTAGGGTTGAGGAGGGAGGTAAAACCTTTAATCCTAAATCTTCTAAACCTTCAAGTTCTATTCAATGTCACAAATGTCATGGAAGGGGGCATATGATGCATGAATGTCCAAGTAGAAGAAACATCCTACTTAGAGAGAATGGAGAATATGAGAGTGAAAAAAGTGAGGGGGAAGAAGAAGAGGGAGAAGGTGTAAGTGAGGAAGATGATTTGGAACTGCCTAATGATGGTATAATTGGGGTGGTTAGGAGAATTATGACTATCAATTTGGGTAGTGTTGATGAAGGGCAGAGAGAGAATTTGTTTCATACTAGGTGTGGGATAAAAGGGAAGACTTATTCTATGATTATTGATGGGGGAAGTTGTGCAAATGTGGTGAGTTCATACTTGGTGGATAAACTAGGAATTGCATGCATGAAGCGCTCTACCCCATATAGGCTCCAATGGTTGAATGATTGTGGAGAAGTAAAAGTAAACAAACAATGCATGATTTCATTCAATGTTGGTAGGTATGAAGATGAGATTCTTTGTGATGTAGTTCCAATGCAAGCATGTCATGTTTTACTTGGCCGACCTTGGCAGTATGATAGGGATACTACTCATCATGGGAGAAAGAATAGGTATAGTCTTCTGCATAATGGTAAGAAGTATACTATTGCACCATTATCTCCTTCTCAAGTGTTTGAAGATCAAAAACGATTAAGGGAAACAATGGGAAAACAAAAGGGAGAGGTAAAAAGTGAGCTTGAGGGAAAAGAAAAAGGCCAAGAGATAGAAAAAAAGAGAGATGGCCGAGAGAAAGAGAGAGAGGGCAGCGATCTAAGTAAAGAGGTAAAAGAGGGTGTGAGTAAAAAAATAAAATGTTTTGGTGAGAGGAAAGAGGCTAAGGAAAAGAAAAATGAGAGCCTTTATATAAAAGCCAAAGAGTGTTTGAATGCTAGGAGAGAGGGACTGCCCATAATACTACTTACTTACAAAGAAGTATTGATTAATTTTGAACAACTAACTCCTTCTTTGCCAAATAGTGTTTCTTCTCTTTTGCAGAATTTTGAAGATGTTTTTCCTGATGACACTCCAAAGGGATTGCCACCTTTGAGAGGGATTGAGCACCAAATAGACTTTGTGTCTGGGTCTCAACTTCCTAATAGGCCTGCCTATAGGAGCAATCCTGAAGAGACCAAAGAATTACAACGGCAAGTTGAAGAATTGCTTGTAAAGGGATTTGTTCGAGAGAGTATGAGCCCATGCTCTGTTCCAGTCCTATTGGTCCCCAAAAAGGATGGAACATGGAGGATGTGTGTAGATTGTCGAGCCATCAACAAGATAACGGTAAAGTATCGCCATCCTATCCCTCGTCTTGATGACATGTTGGACCAACTGTATGGTTCCAAAATCTTTTCTAAAATTGATCTAAAGAGTGGTTACCATCAGATTCGTATGAATCCTGGAGATGAATGGAAAACTGCTTTTAAGACCAAATATGGACTTTATGAGTGGTTAGTTATGCCCTTTGGCTTGACTAATGCACCAAGCACTTTTATGAGACTAATGAATCATGTTTTTAAAGATTTCCATGGAAAATTTATTGTGGTGTATTTTGATGACATCTTGATCTTTTCTCAAAATCTGGATGAACACCTAAAGCACTTAAAACAAGTTTTTGAAGTTCTTAGAAATCAGCGCTTATTTGCTAATCTCAAAAAGTGTACTTTCTGTGTGGATCGTGTGGTTTTCTTAGGTTTTGTGGTCAGTTCTAAGGGAGTTGAAGTAGATGATGAGAAAATCAAGGCAATAAAAGAATGGCCTAAACCTAATAGTGTAACTGAAGTTAGGAGTTTTCATGGACTTGCTAGTTTTTATAGGAGGTTTGTGCGAGACTTTAGCACCATTGCTGCTCCTTTAACTGAAGTTATAAAAAAAGATAAGGTTTTTACATGGGGAAAGGAACAAGATGATGCATTTAACTTGCTGAACGATAAATTGTGTTCTGCGCCTCTTTTGCAATTGCCTGATTTTTCTAAGTCTTTTGAAGTTGAGTGTGATGCCTCTGGTAAGGGCATAGGTGCAGTTTTGATGCAAGACTCCAAGCCAATTGCCTACTTTAGTGAAAAGCTAAGTGGAGCAACATTGAACTACTCAACTTATGATAAGGAGCTATATGCCTTGGTGAGGGCGTTAGCTACATGGCAGCACTACTTGTGGCCTCGAGAATTTGTGGTCAAGACTGATCATGAGTCATTAAAATACTTGAAGAGCCAAGGTAAACTTAGTCGTAGGCATGCTAAATGGGTAGAGTTTATTGAAACTTTTCCTTATGTAATTGCTTACAAACAAGGAAAGGAGAATGTGGTTGCTGATGCACTCTCAAGAAGGTATGTTTTGATCTCTACTCTTACTTCAAAGTTATTGGGTTTTGACCAAATCAAGTTCCTCTATGCTAATGATTCTGATTTTGGTGAGATTTTTGCTGAATGTAAGTTAGGTCCTTTTGAGAAATTTAATCTTCAAGATGAATTTCTATTCAAGGAAAATAAATTATGTGTTCCTAACTGCTCGTTGCGTGAACTATTTGTTAGGGAAGCACATTGTGGAGGGCTAATGGGACATTTTGGTGTACCCAAAACACTGGAAATACTTTCTGAACATTTTTATTGGCCTAGCATGAGAAAGGATGTTGAAAAAGTGTGTTCTTATTGTCTTGAATGTAAACAGGCTAAGTCTAGAACATTGCCGCATGGTCTTTATACTCCTTTACCTGTTTCTAATTCCCCTTGGATTGATATTTCTATGGATTTCATATTGGGGCTGCCAAGGACTAAGTATGGTAAGGATAGTATATTTGTGGTAGTAGATAGATTTTCTAAAATGGCTCGTTTTATCCCATGTAAAAAGACTAATGATGCATCTCATGTGGCTGACTTGTTTGTAAAGGAAGTGGTTAAATTGCATGGAATACCTAGAACTATTGTTAGCGATAGGGATGCCAAGTTCTTAAGTCACTTTTGGAGAATTCTTTGGGGAAAGTTGGGAACTAAATTGCTATTTTCTACATCTTGTCACCCACAAACGGACGGGCAAACGGAAGTGGTTAATAGAACTTTAGGGAACATGTTGAGGGCTATTTTGAAAGGAAAGTTGACTTCTTGGGAAGATTACTTACCTATTGTAGAATTTGCTTATAATAGAACATTCCATTCTTCTACTGGTAAGACTCCTTTTGAAGTTGTATATGGATTCAACCCCCTTACCCCCCTTGATTTATTGCCTTTGCCTACTAATGATTTTGCTAATCTTGATGGTAAGAAGAAGGCTGATATGATGAAGAAAATTCATGAACAAACAAGGCTTGCAATTGAAAAGAAGAACAAGGAAGTTGCATTGCGAAGGAATAAGGGCAGAAAATATGTTGTTTTTAAACCTGGTGACTTGGTTTGGGTGCATATGCGAAAGGAAAGATTTCCTTCCAAAAGAAAGACCAAACTAGATCCTAGAGGAAGTGGGCCATACAAAGTCCTTGAAAGGATTGGAGACAATGCTTATAAACTTGATCTTCCTGGTGAGTTCCAAGTTAGTGCTACTTTTAATGTTTCTGATCTTTCCCATTTTGATGCAGATTTGAATTCGAGGACGAATTCTCTTCAAGAAGAGGGGAATGATAGCATCCAAGGAAGCTCTACTCCATTGAAGGACAAGGATGACGCTTTAGAAACTCCAAGGAGGCCCATAACAAGATCTCAAACCAAGGAGTTCAATGATAAGCTCAATGGGCTTCAATCGCTGATCCAAAGGTTTCTTATTGGGGAAGAAGAGCTCAAGCCCAAGGGAGAGGAATTGTCCAAATGCTACAATTATTTGGTGGCCCAAATTCAAGCCCAAGATGAGGAATTTTAAGGTCCAATTTCGTGCAAAAAAGGTCAAGAAGAGTCCAAGAATCAGCCACAACAAGAGTTGCTTTCTGCCCAAGTTTTGAGAGAAGACTAGTCAAACTTTCCAAGATTGTCAAGATTCTTTTCCTAGTTGGGATTTACCTTATTTACTTATTTATATATAGGTTATTAATATTTCCCTTAATCTATTTATGGTCTCCTAAGTACCATTTAATGCTTTCCTAGAAGTACTAAATGTGTTCCTAGTTAGGTTACTTTATTTCCTTTCTAGAGTAGGATTCCTTGTAATTGTTTTTTTTAGGGTTTGGCTTCTTGGACGTTTTTCCCTTCTCCTATATATAGGAGTCCTTTTCATTCATTAAAGACAATTTAGATTGATATTAATAATATTTGGGAGAGTTCTTTGAACCTTTGTGACTTGTTCTTTGAGAATTTATCTTTAAACCTTTACTAGTTTCATAGTTTAAGGTATAAAGTAACTTCTTCTTGTGATATCTTTGGTTTCTTTTTGGTATTCTTTAGAAGGTGATTAGTTTCTACATACTAATTATTGTCTTTAGTTACTCATAAAGCGGTCAAGATCCGAATCTATCGTTTTGATTCGTTTTCTCAAGTAAAGGCGTTAGATTTCTTCCATAAATCTATACGTTGTTACTTGGATCTTTTCAAGGCCTTAGAACATCTAATCTTTGGAAATTCGTGGATCTTTCCTTCGAATTTCCCATATCTTTATTTAGTTTTTTTTTTGTTTCTTTTCTTTGTGCTTCCGCATTCTAATATTTAATTCTCTATTTGTGATCTCCCTTAACCTTGCTGTTATCAGATTCGATCATGTCACCATGAGCTGTAATATAAATATGGCTATATGTTTTGTTCTCTTTGGGGTGTGTAAAACCAAGTCCTTTAATATCCTAAATGTACTATTACATTCGAATATTTGTGTGAAGCATGAGCAGGCTGATTTCGGTACTCGGAAGCTTGTAATATTCTTCTTATTTCATCCTTGAGCGTGAGGATAATATATATTAATGAAAAGCTCCTCTGTTATTTTCTTAAATTACTTTTTGAAGGTGATTATGCATCTAATCCCTCTACTAGATTATAATCAGTATGCCCTCGTTAATCATTTTTTATTGTCACAAGTATAAGTTAAGTCTCTTTAAAAAGGGTCGCTTCATGACTAGTACGTATTGTGCTCTAGACTAGTATGATGACTGTGAAGTAAAGCTTGAATGTAGAGTTTGAAGTCATAATGTTGATCACTAGGGCTTAAAGTGTGAGTCTTCTATGGTGACATATCTTGCATATATGCAGAATGTGAAAAGTTAATCACCTAAAATAAATCATGCTTGTTACAATAGAATAGCTTGAGGTTGAGCCTTATCATTCCTTAATTGATAGTTGAATTATGTAGCTTGGGATGGTAGATCTCATGGTAGCTTGGGATTGAGGAATTAGCTCTCCTAAGATTAGCTTGAACTAGCATTGATTGGGTGCTTTTCATGGCAGATTGCATTAGTATAGGCATGGTAGCCTAGGATTGAGGATCGATGCTCTCCTACGGGTAGCTTGAACTAGCATGGTTAGAATGCTCTTCATTGTAGCTTGACTTGGTTAGGCCAAGACCATTTCATGGTAGCTTAGGATTGAGACACCATACGCTCCTAAGGATAGCTTAGGGTTGAGGATTCATACTCCTTTAAGGATAGTTTGCATCTTATTGAATGGTTGCATGGTGGCTAGACTGGTATACTTGTATTCTTCCTTTGATAGCTTGGATTGTATGATAGGATTTTTTCAATGGTAGTTAGGTCTAGCATGGTAGTGTGCTATTCTTTGATAGACTAGAATGAAAGATATTTAGCATGGAATAAGCTAGCCTAAACGAGTACTTAGTATGAGTGGCAGTATGAGATGCAATTCATACGTGGCACAAGTATGACTTGAAGCTACTTATGAAGTGTCCTCTTATGTGATGTATGCCTAGGTTGGAGTATTGCTATAGTTGCCTTCCATGATATGAATTGGTTGAAGATGATAGTTCCTTGTCAATGTGAAAGTAGGTCAATAGTGACTCATAGAAGTGATGAATATGATCATGGTGACTTAATGGACATGCTTAGTGTGTGTGGTATTATGGGATTCCCCACATGCATTGCACAAGTGTGCCTTGAGGTTGCTTAGGGGTATAGTGCTCTTATGACATGAAAACCTAGGTCTTGTCTATGAAGGTGCGCTATGACCAAGAATAACCAAAGAGAGGTACTTAGCTTGGATAGTATTATGGGATGCTATCTTTGCCTTGCACTAGTATACTTGGAGGTGGCTTGTGAAGTAGTTCTCTTGAATATGAAAGGCTAATGGTTGAAGTATGTAATTATGAATGTCTTATGTTTATTTGCTATGATATGATGCTTATGTTGGAATTATGTTATGATTTTGTTATTGTCTCTTATGCTTATGTCTTATGTTGACTGGCCATTTGATATGCTTTATGATGTTGTGCTAGCTTTCATACTTGGTACATTTTGTACTAACGCATATTGCCTACATTCTAATCAAATGTAGGGTGTTGGGAGATTGAGTTTCTTGGAGTCTAGCTTCCTAAGTAAGAGTTGAAGATTTGGTGAGTCCTCATAGCTTCGAGGACAAACCCATTTATGTTCTTTTAATGCTTTTCTTATGTTTTAGACTTTATGTGGGCTGCCTCCTAATGACTTTTATGGATGTTATTCATAGATTGTTCGAGACAAGATGTTAGAAAGACTTCCGCCTTTATGAAACGCCTTCGATTTTATGTTTAAAGAAAGTTTTAAATTCTCCCTACTTTTCTATGATATTATGTTATGATGATGCGAAAGGTTGTATGCGATCCTTTCGGGGACAAGTATGGTGCGTTACGTCTAGGGGGTACCCTTGGTTCATGACACAACCAATCTAAACAACATTCAAGCACGACAAGATTATTAACTTAAAATTGGCATTTAAACAATCTAATACTATCAGAGAGGGCCTGCATACGACAAGATGATATGATCATTGTAAATGAGTACAACATTTTTTAAAGTAAACTCGGGATTCGGAAACAAACCTTAGATGCTGATTAAAATAGGATTGAAATGCTAGGCAGCAAAGAAATCCTAGTTCCGAGCACCAATCAACAACTAAAATACTTATTGAAAGCGAGAATATTGAAAATACTAACTTGGTGAGAGATTGTGAAGCGAGGGAAAGTGTAGAGTTTGAAACTTTAAAACCTTTGGCCATATATAACCGCCCAGTTCGCGTCCACTCGGCGACATTAGTCGCGTCTGCCGATCCACTCAGCGACGCGCCGAATGGTCACTTACCCCGCCGATTTCTATAGGACCTTCATTTAAGAAGGCAGTCTTAATCGTGGTCCCTGACCTGGTCGGCAATTCGCTGAATGGACTTTTAGTTCGCTAAACATAATTTCCACACACTCTCCACACTTTGACGTGAACAATCAACACACCATTATTTCTATAACATTAACAAAGCATTTAAGACCTTGGGTTGCCTCCCAAGTACCGCCTTAGAACGTCGTGGCCCGACGCAAGTCTTTCCTCACTCTCCATCATTAGGGTTGACCTTAGTGTTACCAGGTAACCCCAATAGATCATTTGAGTGTAGAGGAGGCACTGCATAACTCATGAGTGTCCTGATCAGCTGGATAGATCTAGAATGAGAGCCAATCAATTGATTCAACACTTCAATATTTTCCTTCATCTCTTCCAGCACTCGATCTTGTTCAGTGTTCTTTTGGAGAAACTATTGTTCTACCCGTCTCTAGACCTTTTCCTCTCATGAGCGGGTATGTACCTCCCTTGACTTTTGCACTAGTCTTCCACCTCTTATATTTTGGTGGCCAAATCGTTCAGCTGAGTTACCAGTGTAGTTAATTTGAAGTCCCTCTCTGCTTCTTGATTCACCTCAGCCAATTTTGCTACCCTTTCCCTCAGCCATGCTTAGGGTATCTGCCTACAACAACAACTCAAAGAAAAAGAAAACTAAAAATAAAGTTAGTAAACTACGACGGACAAGAAAACTCAAATAACACCACTCTCCGGCAGCAGTGCCATTTTGATGCTTAAGGACGTAATCAATTAACACTAGTTTGATTCAAGTGCCATCAGATCACATGTAGTGATATAACCCAACCAAGGGTTAGGATCATTCCCACATGGAGTGGTTTTGAGAATTAATAGAAAAATAAAATTTAGTTTAATTATTCATAGTTATAGATATTGACGATTAAAAACATATTAAATCTAATGGAGTGATGCAAGCATCAATTATCAATGGGGGTTTGTATTAGTTAACAACTAAAAGAGAAGCAAAAATATAAGAAAATGAGATATGGAGATGGGATTCTTGGGATGTGATAGGACTACGGGATAGACTAGACTATCGGGTACATGCTTTTGATAGTAAATTCGTTGAGTATTTGTGACTAGGCTAGACTATAGTGGGGGTAAATTCTCTCTCAAGCAACTTACCCCGAATCAACTAGGTTTCTCTCGAACACCTAGTTGTTGCATTAAGTACAGCCTCTGCTTTAGCCCATTCACTCTCTCAAGTTGAATTTGCGGGAGAAGGACTAGGATTCACTCTATCGAGATGAACCCATATCACTCA